ATTTTCATTTTCATGAAAAATGTAAAACGATAGTATAATGAATACCTTCTAATATGACCACTACCTAGGTCTAATAATGACCATATTTATTTGTATGTGCATTTGACTTACACATAAGTAATTCAGCATGTGGAGGGTCGTTATGTTTTGTGGTTATTACTGTACAAGTCAAAAATCCAATTTCACACATTGCATTACCTTTTGTGCCTCTTTTTTCCCAAAGCATTGATTTTTCTATATCCACACCAGTTATCTCATATCCTGGATTCTTCTGTTGTTTCCTTATGTTGTTATTTAACTGGTTCTCTGTCTTCTAGATGTTAGATGTATGGATGTTTGATTTGATTTAGGTATAACATGTTCAGCAAAAGTTTTCCTAGGTAATGTTTCATATTTTAGATTGCATCACAGCATGACGTACACAACAGTAAACTATCTCACTACTAGTGATGACTGTTGGGTTGGTGCTGACAGCCAACTCACTCCACTGACCTGGTACACTTCCCTTTGAAGTTAGTCAATAACATCTGAAATGATATTTTGTCACCATGTACATAAATGAAATTCCCAGTTCTCTTTGAAATCTGTCTTAGTTACTTTCCTCTCACTGCTGAGACCAAATACCTAACACCCAAAATTAAAGGAGGAAAGGTTCATTTAACTTAGTTTGTAGAGGTTTCAGTCCATAAGCAGCTTGCTCCAAGGCAGAGTGGCAGGAAGAGGGGCAACTGTTCATGGAGGCAGAAGACAGCAAAAGGAACAAGAGCAAAACAGGAAATAAGCCTCTTTCTGTGCCTTCTGTCTTAAACAGACTGCTGAGATTAGGGTGGCACCAATCCAGTCAGGGGACTGATCCAGCAATAATTCACCCTTAATCCCAGCATTGCACTACAAATCAATCACAAACTCTAGATTCAGCTACCTCTGAAAAAGCCTGCCCCCTGCAACTCCATGACCCTATGAGGCTTTGGGGAGGACGTCTAAACATAAACCATTACAGAATCATTTTCATCAGGTGGGTAAACATTCCAAACCTCTCAAGCAGATATATTTAATGATCTCTGAGCGGTGAGTCTCCGTGTCAAGTGCGGGTCCTTTGCAAGGACCCTGTGGTGACCTTGAAATTCTGTCTTGAGAATTTTAAATCCTGTGGGAACTTAGAATCTAAGAATCTGAACTTTCATGTGTTACTGAGTGGAGGCAGTGATTCAATCACTCCAAATTTAGGAAGGAAACACACTTTAGAGTGATGGGGGATACAGCATCCATCCTCTGTCACTGAGCACAGACCAAGATCAAGTCAATTCTTTATTCTGAGGGTCCTCAAACACATGCTTCAGATAGCTGATAGCATTTTTGAGATAAAGGAGTTAGTATTAAATTTACTATGTTAGTATTTGTGGTTTGCTGTAGGCCTAGTTCTAGAAAATCCAGACTTGTGTGGTTAAGTCACTTGGAATAGATGGTCCCCACTGAATCACTCTCCACCACATCTCCTTAATCCCCTAATGGTTTTAGTTGTTTGAAGTCCTTAACATAGGAAAATTTAAGAACTAGATAGCCAGGAAGTAAGTTAGAAACACAACATTTTAATAACTGCTTGGTAAAAACTGCCTTCACATTTGCTGGTTTCTCCTTAAAAGAGATGGAAGATTAGGAATGTTTTATCCAAAATGAAATCCAGTTTTGAAAGATACTTCTTGAATGTATGGATTACCTTGGAGTCATGTTCTGTTGGATGAGGTAAAATATGCTATTTGGATTAGAACAAGCTTGGTATGTTTCTTAGGGAAAATTCTACGCTACCTTTATCTCATCTACCGAGAGACCTTGACTTCCAGGACAAGCATGTGCAAGAGAAATCTGGTGAGAAAGTCACCTGGCTTCTTGTTCCCAGAGACCATTCCAGGATATGGTTTGCCACTTGGCTTTTGAGACTGCAATGCAAATGGGTTCCATCCTCCACCGAGCCAAATGAGATGGTATGAGGAGAATTTAAACAATGGAAAAGTTTTTTAGTTGCTCAATAACTATTCCTTGAAGGCTAATTATTAACTAAGCATGGAAGTTTGGAGAATGAATAAATAACGTATTTTCTCCACACTTAAGCTTGAGCTAATAAAGAAATCAGAAGCAAGGAATAAGCAAATGCAAATCAAAGTGCCAGTTTTCTTTTTAGTAAACTAAGAAAGAACATCCATATCTGTAACCATGCAGTTTTGCCACTCATTATTGACCTGGTTCTGGGTCGTTATCCAATGGCAGAGAGGACTGACAAGAAAATCTAAGAGATGAATTACGTATGCCTGGTTCCTTTCCCCAAATTCCTACCTATTCAACCTCTTTTCACCTCCTCTCATGACCTGCCATTCTATGGCTCTAACAGTACTACATAGTTACCCAGAAAGACCAATTTGGTACGTTCCAGGCTGCTCAAATTCTTCTGGCTCACCTAAAACTCATTTTCCCAAAACCAGCTAGGTTAGACTATCAGTCCTTGCTAATGATGTGAGATTACTTAAAAATGAATCTCAAGTTCATAGAAATATTATATCATGTGACAAAGAGAAGATTCAAATAAAAAAATTGAAACAATTCTTTAAAATCAAGGTGAACAGCACAGATGTATGCTGTTCTGTGTTGGACCTGTTGAAGAGGCTTTCCTTCTATTGTCCACATTTTCTCCCCTTCTGAAAGAGTCCATTGGCAAGGTGAGCATGGAGGCGCGTGCCTGTAATCCCCGTACTCAGGAGGTTGGAGCATCACTGTAAGTTTGAGGCCAGACTGGGCTACAAAGTGAGTTTAAGGCCAGCCTAAACTACATAGTGAAATCCTCTCTCAAAAGAAAAGATTCCTTTGGCTCTGAAGAGTCATTAGATGATGATCATGATAAGCTCCTATGGAATTGGCAGCAAAGCTGTGTATCGCAGTTTAAAAAACATCAAAAGGGGCATATAGGGGCACTTAAACTGTGATGGGAATTAGAAGGGAACTGGAGGCCTGTCAGAGAGCAAATGTATGACATGAACTGATACTGAGCCATCCACATGGAACCAGCTAGCACAAGTCAGATTGAGAAGGTGTGGATGATAGAGCTAAGAACTGGTGGTGTGGATTTGCAAGGTGTCACTAAAAGGATTGAGATCTCAGAAGAGTACGTGGAGCGCAATAAATGGCCCAGGCTGGACATCAGGCAATGCTCTCAGTTAAGGAACCAGTGAAAGAAGAAGAGTTAATGAAAATAAGAAAAAAGTAAATCAGAAAAGTAAAAAACAAGTGAGAAGATTACAGTTTCAATGGAAATAAAACAGAGTTCAGGGAAATGACAATATTGCCAAGTATAAAAAAAAAGTTAAAAAGAATGGGAGGCCATTTAGAAAGAAGTAACACTTACTAAGAATGCCTTAGCGCTGCCACTGCCACCACGAGGCCTTTTAAGATTTTAAACGTCAACCCATCCACCCGAAAAAAACTAGGAACTGAGCAGCTCAGGGAGCACTGAACAACATCTCCAGCCCTTCATTTCATCCTGAGACAGAGTCTCATGAAGTTACCCAAGATGGCTTTGAACTTGTGATACTCTTGCCTCAGTCACTCAGCTATCTAACATGCACTGTTATATTCTGCTAAGAATATCAACTTTTAACGAAGGCAAAATAATATGTTCTGCATCTCTTCCACTCCAATTTGTTGGTTATGGGTCTTTGTTACATGTTTACTGTAATAACTAATCTAGGAGTGCTAGTTTTTATTTCCCTAGCTCAAGGCATTCTTAAAATTTCAAGGTATCAAGAAAGGAATATCAAGAAAGGAAAGAAAAAAATATCCATATATGGACCCAAACAAGCAGAAAGTAAATTATCTGTGTAAATTTTGTCTAACCCAGTCCATGAGTGAACCAAAAATAACCCACTTTGATCTTTTGAAAAACTATCTTCACAGATTACAAGCAGAATCTTTACCTATGAGTAATTTTTAAAGTTCCATTAGATCTGCAAAAGCAAATGGGTTTGATTCTTAATGGTAATACCAATCAATTGATAATCATGTACTAAGACCAACTTTTGAGTAAGTAAAGAGTGCTATTAAGAAACCAGCTATGTCAGGGATGGGTGTCCAACTGGCTGTATTCTTGACAGATGTTTGCTGTTGCTCTGCCTCCTTTGCTTGACTTACAAAAGACCAATCCATCGGTATGCTTTTGGAATGTAGTGTTCTGAGTGTTTCTGTTAAGCTACCCGTAATGTTGCACATTTGCTCTTTGCCTTCAGCTTCTTTGATCTTCAGCTTCAGTTGGAGGTCACCACTCTGCGAGAGGAAGCATTTGTAAATTGATAGTCAGAGCCACAGAAGGTCCTCTGTATTTAAAACAGTACAGTTTTAATGTCTAGGTAACAAGGGGCAGGTGTCTATAATTTGGCACAGAAAATTAAGCTAATGAGATTATCGTTCTACTTTCCCTTCAGACAAGCAGTAACCTCTAGGCCCATGACTTAACCACTACAGAGTCTGACACAATTGTATCTGAAGTCATAGGAGAGCTCATGTAAAACTGCAGTGTGCCCCTTCTTCCTTTAACAGGACCAAAATTCCAGTAGACAATTATTATTTTGTGATGGCTGACAGTCCATTAAATTACTCTATGACAGGCTTATGCTATGTACTGTTCCTTGAAGAATTATGCATCAAGATTAATTTCTCATTTTCCCCTACTTAAAATCAAATTTTATTTTTTGCTTAGAAACTCAAAGTGATTTTGGGTTTTTCTCCATTTGAATTAAATGAATCAGCTTTTAAGCTTACACATAGAGTACCATAGTTAATGTTTTCGATGATGCTCTACATAAGACCCTTATCAAAATCATTCTGTGTTACTTAGCAATATGTACAAGAAGTATAGTCACTTAACATCTTTAGCCTAAGAAAACAGACATAGTAAGCAGAGATGATACGCTCAAAGACCAAAGATGCTGGACTGAATTAACAAAACTATGATAACATTCATTCAAAAAATATTTATTGAGAATATATTTCATGTCAGTGCTGTTTTAGGCACTTAAAATTCAACCGTGAAAAAATACACATTTCCTGCTCTCGAGGAGCTTACATTTTAATGGATGAAGACATTCAAATAATTAGAAGTTATAAAAAATAGTAAAAGGTAAAGGAATAAATAACACATCCTTGGAACACCTGTTTTCTTTGCGGATATTTCTTTTCCATTTACACCTTTTTGTACTATCTCAAATTATACAAATTCAGTATTTATTTGGATTAATATCACCTTTTGTGGATTAATAATGTTAGCTGCCTCCTCTGAGGCAGCTAAATTCAGACAGCTATTCTTTATTCTTTAGTAAGAGTTCACAGATCATAGTCTTCTTTAGAAAAACTAAATGGTTAGAATGCTGATGTACTGTAGAGCATAAGGTAAGTACTTGTGGCTACCTGACAGAGGGAACAGGTGAAACGGATGTGAGACAAGCGATGCAGGTGAGCAGGGCTGGGAGTCAGTGTCAGAGTCTGTGGCCAGACAGCACTTGTGCTCAGGAACAGCAAGTGTCCAAGGTGGCTGGATAGAATATGCAAAGGACACAAGAAGAAGGTAGAGCTCAGAGACTGGTCGCCTGAGGCCTTTCATGCACTTATTCTAGGATGGGAAGCCATTGGAAGACTTCAGCTAGAGGAAGCACTGAGTTAGCTGAATGTCTTCAGCTAATTTGTGGGTGATAAACATAAGGAGCAGAGGGGAATCAGGACAACTCATGACAACTCAGGACAGCACATGCTATGAGGACAGACCTCTCAGAGGCAACAGTAGTCCAGATGAGGCAAGCAGCAACCAAGAAGTAGGCTGCTGAATATATTTTGAAAGCCAAATTATACTTGCAAGCAAATTGTTAATCAATTTACTATTTTTACTATAAAAGTAAAAAGGAGTCAAAAGTGACCTCAAGATTTTTAGCATAAGAAACTCATTCTCATTTACCACAAAAAAAGAAGATAACAAAAGTATCAGTTTGTGGCAAAGAAGGACTATGAAAATTGGGAGTTAACATGTTAACTTTGAGATGTCCATTAGACATACAAGGAGAAATGCTAAGGGCATCTGAATATGTAAATCTGGATATGACGGCTGGGTGCCACTAGGCCCTTGGGAATCATCAGAGTTTGAAAGGTGTTTAACACCACCACGCAGGATGAAATTCCCCAGGGAATGTCTATAAAGGGTGAAGACTTCTGACAGCTTAGCCTAATATACTCCAGTACTTGAAGAAAAAGGGCAGTCAACAAAACACAATGAAAAGGAACAGTAACTTGGAAGAAACTCTAGTGTAGTTTGTACCCTGGAGGGGAAACGAAAGTGTTTTTTTAAAATTGATCTTCTGTCAAATGTTCACAGGAAGAGATAATGACAATCAAATTTGATAATATGAAAGCAGGTGGTACGCCAAAGACATTCCTTAAAGAATGGACAGAAAGAACCAGGTGAGGTGGAACACATTTGTAACCGCTGTACTGGGGAGGTTAAGGCAGGATTGCTGCAAGTTAGTGGTCAATCTGGGTTCCACAGTGAGTTCAAGGCCAGGCTGAACTACCTAGCAAGACCCTGTCTAAAGAGAGAGAAAGAGACAGAGATAGAGACAGAGATAGAGAGACAGAGAGGAGTGACAAAGATAAGCAGCCCTTCTGAGAAGTTTCATCATAGAGGTGAACACCCCCCCCCACACACACACACACAAAGAACACTAGTTACAGGATGTGGGGCTACTGTCATTTTCTTTTCTTGATTTTATGTTGGAAATGTAACATTACCTATACAATATAAAAGTCTAGTGGAAGGAGAAACCTCGATAATTCAGAGACAATAACTGATGAATGCAGTTTCTGTGTGCAAGTAAAAGAGTTGGCCTAAAAAAAATCAGTCACCCATCACAAAGGAAGGAAGGCAGTGGGAACCCGGTGCGGTGATGCACGCCTGTAACCCCAGAATGGAAGACAGGTGGAAATGACAGTGAAGAACTCTGATGAACTTGGTGTTGTTTTCAGTGAAAGAAATTGATTAAATTACTTTGGGAAGGAGAAGCACTGATAGTTGGAAGAAAGAAAAATTACAGTGATATCTGATAGTCAAAGAATGAATTGACTAAGAAAATGTAGGATGGTCAGGCAACTTTAAGGGCCTCCTTGAGGTCTGTCATGAATTGAGAAGTGCACCCGGCGTATTTTTATGTTGCTCTAGCCCCTGTCTAGAAGCCTGGCTGCAGCTGCTGAGTTGGATTTAAACAAGGTTGAGAAAGGAAAGGACTAAGGGAGTTGGAAATGTATACAAGCAAGGGATTGGCACAGCGGGGCTGTGAAATATGTACCAGGCAAAGAAGCAAAAGCCAATTGGAGAAGGTGAACAGGTGGAAAGTTTTAGGAGAAATATTTTTAGGAGTCTTGCTGGTCCAGGAGAACTTTCAGCCAGATTGGAGGAAGTGAGTTAGATCAATAAGAGGACTTGGTAAGACGGTAGATGCTTAAAATTGAAAATTCAATTTTGGGTGTTAGGTAAAGACTTTGGTAGCTGCATATCTAAGGTAACATTTGGAAGTGGATAGCCATATAGATGAGAATGCCAGGGCCAGACTGTTGAATAGACTATTTCTGTCAATGATTTCTAATGTTTTTGTTCTCATATGTGTCCCCTCTAATATATATATTGACCTTTAAAATGTTTCACATAAGCTTAAATGCAAAGAATATCATTTCTCCCATATTACCTATATTGCCATTTGAAAATATAAACATTAAAACTTCTATCTGAAATATATCATATAAATACTATGCCAGTTTTTAGCTTACTAACATTGCTTCCTCATTAAAATTCAATTTCCCTTCTGCTTTCCCTACATGATAGCATGCTAATAATATATTTCTAATTCTTAGTCAATTGACTCTTTATATATTTCTTTGCAACCAAATAACATGTGTACGTTATGCATTTTCTTTAGTCAAATTAGTATTAAAATAAAATCAGTGTTAAAGTCATTAGTTCACAATTAAAATGTTATATTGATAGTTATTTAAAAAAATATTTTGTCAAAACCATGACAAAGGTAAATTTTATGGTATCTTAAGAAAAGGTAGTTTCTCAGTTATCAGTGCTTAGAACTTTTTAAGATTTAAGGCTGGAGCTGGTGGCTCACTTGTAAACAAGTACTCAGCCATGTGTCAGGCCTGGGTTCAATTCTCAGCACCCAAAAACACCCTCAAAGCAAGCAAGAAAAAAAAACTTGAGGCAAATAAATGGGTTGTTATCTTATTTAACATGGTGTTCAGATCTATACTGAAGCAATGAGAGGAAAACTTTAGGATTTACCCTCCAGCAGTTTGCAAAACTTGAGGCAATGTATGATAGTATATGAGCTTTGTTTTTTTTTTTTTTTTAGAAAATGAGAAGATGGTTATGAAAAGCAAAATTCTCTCTGCACATCATCCTCATTTGGATGTGATATTTTATTCTCTTCAGAATAAAAATTAAACTATCCTCAAACTAACTTTCAACAAGCAAATGTGTAAAGACAGACAGGAAGCCTCTTATCTCTCAATATATACACAAATCAATGTATCAAATACTGCATTAACTTAAACTTTGAGTTCCAGGAATACTCACTTTAATTGTCCTTCCTAGTCATTGATTTTCCTAAAGTCTCAACTAGTTAAGAGGTAAAACAAATTAAAGGACAAATGTCCCATTGTCTCTAATCCATGCTACGAATAGCAAACCTGTAACCCCATCAGTGATATTACAGAAAGTATAGCTCTTAAGCAACAAGCTACCCCATTTTCCCAGAGATCTTTTTGCCTCATACACAATTCAGGCTTTAGGCTTGTAAATGGTATTTCTGTACTCAAAGAAATTTTTGACAGTGACACTGGTTTAGCAAATCTGACCTTCCAGTAAGTGCATTTCACAGAAACAAATTAATTACCCTAACATAATAATGTGAATCTCCAAGGAAAATAGCCTCACTCACCTTTACACCTTTCTAAAGCCAAAGGACACAATGGCACTGAATTCTAACCAACGTCAGTACCTGCTGGTAAATCAAGGCTGTTGCTTAGAGGTCACTATTCACAGCATTCAACTCATATGGTAATTACAAAATATGGCTCAAATTAAGATTATCATTATCATTTGCCTTTTGTAGTTCATGTTTTCCCAGAAATAGGCACAAGATTACCAGTGGTCCCTTGTGGAGTTTCTCAATCAATATTGTTGTCCATGTATATCTATGAAATATAGGTTACATCTACCAACTAAGAAGCTGAACAAATTATTTTCAAGATTGACCTAGTAGCACACACAATTCTTAAACAGTATTGTCATCTGTTGCATCCCACTGGTTTAGGAAAGCTTTCAGTGTATACGCTTCCTATTAAACACTTATGTCCCACTGAGTACAAATGCTTAACAAACACTAAGGTGCAGGTCCTTATTCCTCACTCATACCTTTAAACAATGGTTCAAATAGCATCAAGACTATAGTAAGAATGCAGAAAATGATGTGCTGTGGTGTAATTTCCCATACCCAATATAGTTAAATGTGATTCACCCTTTTGTGGAACAATGTAGTGCAACATTCTCACACCATCTGAAAGGACCCAACTTCCTCAAAATTTTAATAGCTAGGAGAGGGAGGGGCATCATTGGCATTGTTTCTCAGAACTTCTGTCTTCTGAGTCCTCAAGAGGAGGGATACAGTATGCACAGTATCCCAGCTTTGTTGGACATATTAGCACTACAAAGTACACGGAACACTGGAAAACTGTGGTAAACTCTGGTTTAGGGCATAATCTCACCCCCAAACCAACACTCTTCTCATTCTGTGTGACATGCTTTTACAAGTTATTATTTCATATTCTACTTAAATTATTTTTGAAATGTCATAAGTCATAATGAAGCAGTTCATGTGGGAAAATATGTCAAGGAAACAAATGACACTCAGTTTACACTTTGGGATTTTTTTTTTTGTCTTTTTTTTTTTTTTTAATCGGTACTAGGGATCGAACTCACGACTGCCTGCTTGCAAGGCAGGTGCTTATGCCACTGAGCTAAATCCCCAGCCCCTACTTTGGGATTATTTACAATTGACTGTGCATAGTAAAATCCCCTTTCATGGCATAGTATTTATTTTCCTTGCCTCCTTGGTAAGACATACCTTGGTGGAACATAACAAGTAAACCAAAATGCAGCTGTCTGATAAAAACAAAATAAAACATTCAGTCATGTATCTTAATTCTACATATAAACTCGTATTAATACCTACCTTTAGCTACTATGTGCAATTCACTGGATTAGCCACTTGTTGAGATAGTTAACCCAGTACTACAAACTTGCTCCCATATAAAGCCCATACAAAAGTGCTTTACTGAAGTCCTAAACTCATTTTTGTTAACTTAAAAGGATGAAGTCTTGAGATTTTTAAATGGCATGAAAGTAACATAAACTTCTTTTTAATCCCTCAATTCAGACAAAGTATTTCATCTACTACTAGAAAGAGAAAATTACAGATGATTTTTAACATTGTGAAGACAGAAAGAAAATACTTGAATACCTCTTTTTCTCTCTTAATTACCATAGGAAAGTCTTATTTTTCACTGTGCAATTAGAAATGTGTTGAATGTCACTTCTATTACATGACACCTTTAGTTAGAATCATCCCAAAGTAACACTAAGCTAATACAGATGTAGAAAATACTCCATGCAATACTCAAATATAGCACCATAAATTAAAGCCAAAACTATGCCAAAGTTATTACTGTCAAAATTAAAGAACTCTTTAGTCACTACTTTGCTTCAGTGCTTCATAATTATTATTTTGTGAGAATTTGTTACAATTTGATAAAAAATGAACCTTTGTGAACCCCCTCAAAAAGAAAAGACCCACAAAAGATCATAGAAGTTTCTGATCTTTAGGGGAGATTACCGTCTCAGGAAGGTAACAAAAAAAGCAATAATTAAGTCTATTTTAAAGGCTTGGAAATGCTATAAGCTACCATTTTACATTCTTAATAAAGCATGATTTTTTTGAACCAAAACTATTTCTTTCCACTGAGGGCAAGATTCTGTGTTTCTAACCCAAAACCTGAACACCTGTAGAGAAAACCAGCCAGCTGCTCTAACACCTGTGCTTCTACGTGTACAGTTGCTAAGATTAGTGTGCTATATAAATAAGTTAAGGCCTCTGGTCAAAGTAATTAGATTTTGCTGCATGAAGTGAGTATAGATTTTCTAATACTGCTATCTGAACACAGAATAGGGAAGGAAAAAAGGAAAGAGAGTAAATAAGAAAAAAAATTCACGTATTTACAAAAACAAATACATTTACCTAGATCCTCTCTTAAGATCTAATTTTTTGTTAAGTTAAATACAAATGCAATCAAATTCTTTTCCAACACACAATAAACTAAAGAAGAATACAAGCTACTAACCACTTTTAGAAGAACAAAAAAAAATATTAAAAGCAGCTACGTTTATTTCAAAAAGCAGCCTGAGGGAAATGTTTCTCCATGCTGGAGCAAGACTAAAGGGTATCACTGTTGATAACATATGGTGGCATATGGGTAAAAACAGTATTTGTTTATATGTTACTGTATGTCCAAAAGGATTTAAAGACCTATGAAGGCAGGGTAACTTTTACCAACATACTTACGAGCTCGACATAGTGTTTATAGACACACAACTCCAAAATACCAAGTGCTATACTAAAAATCTCATTCCTTCAGGGTTTACAGCAGATATGGACACATCAATTCATTAAAAAATTGAAAATTTTGCTTTTATAATGAAGACAGCTAAATTGAGAACCCACTAGCCAGTGAGTAACTGAAAAAGTTATGTGGGTAACAGGATTTTCTTCAGGTTTGGAATACTGGACCTAAAAGACGGGATAGAAGGCTGGCCTGGGAAATCTTACATGGCGAAGAGAAACATTGAGGGGCTTTTGTTGTTGTTTTTAATTCCTCAGATCAGAAAATAGACAAGACTAGAAATTCTTGTCCTGTCAGATGTCAATTACTGTAATACTGATAAATATAATGCTGGTTAGTTCCTTATGGGGTTTACAGAAATACTGCTTAAGAGACAACATCCATTTGCATGTAGCTAGGTATCTTTTAATTAAGAAACATTACTATTTTTGCTTTATATTGGCAGAAAACTGGAGTGGTTAACCTTCTCTTACTTTATTTCCCAGAGCAGGATAGTAAGGAAGTATTTGAAATGTCTGAATTTCTTTGAGCCTGAGGCGAAAGGATTGCCAGAGGCCAGCCAGGACTACATAGTGGGACCTTGTCTCAAAACAGCAAAATAAATAGTAAATAAATAAATAAATAAATAAAGGACGTTCTCTTTAAATCTATTTGATTACTTCGGTGTTTGTCTTTTACCTCTACATAATATTAGTTACTAAGCACACCTAATAAACAGGAAGTAGACTGGGCTCAGTTTTACAATTACACAGCTAATATTTAAGGTAATGGTTAGTTCATAGAAAGTGATACCAATTTTCCACCTGCAAAGTGCTATGCTTCCTTTTCAAAATAAATTTACATTAAAAAGTCAATTTCGAAAGCACTACATACTATTTTTAAATATTACAATGCACAGAAATGGCCAAATGCATTGAAATCCTTCTACAGTCTAAAGTTTAGAAAATTCTACATCAGTAGTTACCACCTAGATAAACTAAAAACCATTATTTGAAAGTTACTCAGGTAGTAAGTATGTGACCATGAGGCTCAGGCTAATGTCCAGGGACATGAATAATAGCCATGGTTAATATAACCATATATTAAGTCACTTATTTTCCACATGAACAAACTGCAGGGCAAGGACATGACCTGACCAAACCCATGGACACAGAACTCTGGAATCCTGGTTTAGAGCACTTCCCTATATTAACAGTGTTTGTAGCTTCTTTGATGTATATGAGTTAGGAAATCATAGTAAAGGCAATTCCCAAATAACATACTGTCCTTAAAATATGTCTTAAACCACATCAAACCATAAATGCATGGTTCAGCAAGAACAGAACAGCTGATGAGCTTATTTATACCACTTGCTCCTTGAAGACTTGCTCTTATCCATTCTAGGTAGGGTGACAGAGCCCTGATATGAAGCCACCTGCTAGGCACACAAAGACCAAAACAGCTGGGTGAAGTGGTCCACACCCATAATCCCAGCAGAAGGCTGAGGCAGGAGGATCACTGCAAGTTTAAGGCCAGACTGGGAAACACAGTGAGTTTAAGGCCAACTTGGACTAAATAGTGAGACCTTACTCAAAAAATAAACAAATGGAACCAGAAGATGTAATCTGTTATACGCTTGGGAAATTTTGAATACTTAGGTTCCTTTCTCACCTGCATATAGACAGTAGACTGAGGTCACCAGTTCATTTGAAGTTATGACTACAATCTTCAGCTCTCCCATAGTTCCAACTGGCATCTATTTGCTATGCATTTTCCTATTTTTGTGATATTCCACATATTCCTCTAATTCCTAGATTTCTAATGTTTCTTTTTCCCTTAGCTTGTAACTGAGAAACTGGAAGATATTTCAAGACTATGATCTCATTTTATCAGTACCAAATTTCGCAAGCTATGTGCATTTACTGTTATGAACTCCAACAATCTAAACATCATTAGATTACCAAAAAAACAAAAAACCCTTGAGTTACTGCTTTGTCCCTAATACCTAGAAGAATGCTTTGCAAATGTGACTGTTTGAATAAGTGAATAAAGACACTGCAGCAACCTTTTACATCAAAGCTTCAGTATCTTTACAGTTGTTGCTATCACTGCTTCAATTCCCTTCTTCTCTCCAACTAGACTTTCATTTCCGAAATTGGACCTTATTAAGCCTAACCATCTAATGGACAATTCTCAGCACTCATCTTACTTGAATAGTGCTTGAATGTCTCCCTTCTCGAAACACTTTCATCTCCTTGTTTCCTTTGTATCATTTTTCTAGTTTATTTCATTGACAGTTCTCAGAAGGCATTTTTGCTGGTTCCTCCCTACTTTAGATGTCAAGAGTACTTTAGGCCCATTCCTCCCTCTTTTGGATCTATTTGTTTGCTACTCAACATGTGGATCTCAAAACATCAGCATCACTAATGAGCTTATTGGAAATACAGACTCTCAGGCCCTATACCAGATCTGCTGATTTGAAATTTGCAATTTAAAAAACTGAGGCAACTCAGGTACATAAAAACTTGAGAAGCACTAATTCAGTCACCTGTTCAAACTCCATTCATAGACTGACTTCCCAAATTTGTACCTCCTGTCTCCCGTTTCTCAATGTGTCATACACAGGACTTGCTTGCTCAGTTCCTAAGTATCAGAGAAGAACCTCAAATCTATGTGCAATCTTAATTTTTCTCCCTCAGACCCAAAACTTAAGAATCGTTCTTGTCATTACCTCACTTTCCAATTCCTGGACCAAAGGTCTACTGGCTGTCTTTATTAAGACCTAGACAAATACTACTAGGTATCATTTCCATTATCAGGACCTTGTCCTAAGCCACCAGCATTTATACAGAATTCTGAGTCTCCCAAATTTCCTGGTTTTCAGCTATTCTGCATACAATAAACTTTGTACATGGTATACAGAATGACCTTTAAATGTTAATCAGACTTCAGCCAATAACCTTTAATGAGGCTGCCAAATTTCCCAGTGTGGCACTCAAGAATTCTCTACTTCCAAGCCCCTTTCACATTGTGTTCTAATGTTGTGCTGACAAGCTTCCTCTCCTCCTCCCAAATTTATCTGCCTCACTTTCTTGTTATCAGCCCTGATTACCACCTCAGAGTTTCGTTAATCACTGTAATTAACACTCATCCCCCCTTTCAACTTTCCATTTACCCTAGCTTACTTTTATTTTTACACTTACATAGTTTATCTGACATACATATCTCATATCCCACTAGGATGTATGGTCCAGCAGGGGCTTTTTCTTTCACAAAAGCATAATGCTTTCAACATACTTTGTGCCTGGTACACAAAAGCACTAAAGTGGGCAAGATATAATCTCCTGTACACATCAGTATTCATATGTGTTTTAAAGCTGCACAAATCTGACTTTTTCCTTTCTGGGGTTGTATTTTGAGATAGGATCTTCTTTTATAGTCCAGAATGGCCTTGAGCTCATTATACAGTCCAGACTAATTCTCCTGCCTCAGTCTCCCAAGTGCTGGGATTACAGTCATGTGCCACCATACCTGGCAGAGCTGTACAAATCTGGACATAGACAATCCACTAGTAGTTGATGCAGAGGCTTTCAATAGGCTGGTCTTTTCAACTATTTAGAAGACTTTCAATAGCTGATGCAAAGACTTTCTATTTTCAAAACTGGGCAGTGGTTCCAAAACTGTACATTAGCAAGAGGATCTTTAAAAAATTCTAATGCTTAAGCTCATTCCAAATGAGTTAGGTAACAGTCACTGGCATTGGAACTTAGGTATCAAGTGTTTTTTGAGGCTCTCAAGGTAATGCCAATGTGAGACAAGTTTGGGAAACACTGGTATATAATTTGAGTTGGTAACTATGACATGAAATAGAACATGAACTCTCGAATGTCTAATAAAAGAAATCTTAGTCATGTTACATAAACCTAGGAATTCTATTTTCCATGGGGTATAGAAAACAAAAAGAAATTCATAAAAACAACAGTGCTTCAAACATGAAGTCTTAAAGAGAGCATCTCTTTCAGGATTTTCTAGGTTTATTTTCTTGTCTAAGTCAATCCAAACTTGGGCACTTCTATTAGGAAGTTTACTTTCTTCCCCCTCAGAATGCTGAGGCAATTTATATAGAAAATGTAGCAACTTCTACATAAGTCATATCTGAAGGCTTTTGGGGCTCTGCTCAAATTAGTGTTTTCAATAGTATCAGTTAAATGGTGTCAGCTCCATTCTGTTAACATCACCATAATTACTTAAAACAAAATGCTATAGTCTCAAGAAACGTTTCTTTAAAACTCAACAAAATTATAGTAAATTATTACTCATGCTAAAATTTCTTAAGAAGTAATATAATCAACTGACTCTAGTAATCAATTAAAATACCCTTAGGACAGAACCTAGTCAAGTACTGTGCATATATCCATCTCTAAACTCATCTTTAAACCGTCTTATATCTCACAATGGGGGAAACACTAATGAAAGAGAAAAACAGTCATTTAATTATTAAAATCCTTCAATACTATGCAAAGACTATAGATTTCAAAAGAACTTTGGAGATATATAAGCCAATTCATTTTATAGGAGAATGACCTGGCACTCAGACAAGGTGAAATGTCATGCCTGAAAGTCACACAGGAGAGCCAGAAGAAAAAAATAAAAAACAACTTTTTTCCCACACAAGTAGACAGTATTTTTCAAATGTTAAAAAGAATCAAGATCATCAGAGTAGGAGGAAATGAATAAAAAGTGTCAGGTACACACAGATTTAAAGGACTAATTTGCTGGTTCTCCAAAGCCAGAAATTGCTCCACTCTTATGAACATATATCCATCAAGATGCTTACCCTTAAAATATTAGAATCTTGGAAAACTCAATTTATAAATACATTATTCACTGCTATAATGAAATGAGTTCATTAAACGTGAAAACATCAAACAGCACCAATACCAGAAAGTTTAAGAAGGTAAATATACTATTATTTAAAATAATGTGTAATCACTGATCAGGACAGAAATGAACTATATCTCCTAGCAAAACTATTTAAAATAACTGTTTGACCTAAAGGCAATATTTTAAAGACTAGTATATGTCCTTTTTCCACTGAGAGGCCTGCAGCTAAGCATCCCAGCAGTGAGCCACATTGAAAATATTAAGATGCATTTTAAAAATTGATCAACCTTGAACCATGATACTATATAACCTAATTTTGCCAATGTAAATCAATGGCATTTTTGGTATCCTAACTACCCTTACTTGTCCCAATTAAAACACAAAGCAACTCCCTTAATAAACACTAGATTAAATGTATCTATTTTCAAGAAGCAGCAAAGCATTTACAAATGAGCTACAGACCACGTATCAAAATGCTACCGAGGAAAATACAGCAGCAAACACTCTAGTAAGAGCACGTTATTCCACATGGAATCCCAAATAATTCTTATCTCCAGTTTCTCAAATTTTTAGAAGACTAGAGATTAACAAGTATAGATATAAAAGGGGCTAGGGAAAAAGAAGCTTTAAATAGAATAGTGGCCATATTTTAAATTACCCAAGATAACTTGATGTTTAGAGAGATCCAAGTACATCTAAGTTTTTATGCTCATAGACAAAAATACTAGAGAAATTTTTGTGTTTACCCAAAAAGTAGTATCAGAATTTTAAGTAAAAATGAAATAGGAACGGTTTGTTAAGTTTTTATAATGTTCACACCACTCTCTCCCTGTTCCCTGCTCCTTTCAACAGGTGATCTGAAGACTACCTGGTTTAAAACATTTGGTAATTCAGTGCAGAAAAGTAAGGTCACAGACAAAGAACAACAACTTTTAATACATCATCAATACTAATGATTAAAAATTATTGCATAGTCTTATGCATTTATCCTAAAACATTTTCTGAAAGTAAACGAATTATATAAAAGACAACCCTTTAAAATATGGATGGCCTTTACTACCTCGATCTTCTCTCTTTTTTTGCCTTTTCAGTACTTTTGTCCATTGTTTTCTCATTATCTCCCCTGCATTTTGGGCAATACCACTTCCCCTTTGGTTTATATGTAAGTGAAACACATGAAAAGTGAAACCATTCAATTGGACACTGTTCATTGTCACATCCTATCATTTCCCCGTAAGACACTTGGTTACATAAACAGTACGTGGGTTCATTGGGATCTATTGTAAACTCAACAGGTGAAGCTTCTCTTTCTTGTTTGGCCTTAGAGCGTTTCTTTTTCTTGGCTGACTTAGATTTCTTTTCTTTAGGTGGCTGATCATCACAGTCTTCAATCCCATTTGTCATGTGACATAAATCACGGCTTTCACTGGTTCGCTGTCGGCGGGGTCTTCTCGAAGATCTTTCTGGTTGGGTAGAATCTAGCTTTGCCTTATCTGAGGCTCGTTCACTTTCAGCAGGATCTTGGAGACACTGTGAATGCAACTCCATTTGTCTTGCTCGATTTTCTACCAGTTCGAGCATCTGTGTGACAATCTGAATTTTTTCATCTCCTAATTCTTGACTATTTATCAGTGCTCTCTGGAGATGCTGCTGTAGGCGTTTTTTCTGGTTTGAATCATCTTCTTTCTTATATTTTTCATAGACATCATCAATTTCCTTTAATGTTTCTAAAAAAGGAAAAGAAAAATGAAAACATTTTGTGCATTAGCACATACAAGATTTTTAAGTTAGAACTATCCCAAAGCTTGAAATCACACTCCTTCCGTATGTACACATTAAAAATATTTTTAAAAAAGATCATGGATCGAGAGTTATGATACCTTTTCACATCATAGCCTTTGACATGTTGTTTTTTTTCTGAAGTCACTCTTAAGCTAACATCAGTAACTTAGTTTTAATGTTTCTTTTTAGTATCATATGAGAAATTTTGAAAATCAAACTTTTTCCAGAATAGGTCCATTGTTTCTGGTATCAACTGACAAGGCCACCACAAAATTACACTAAAGTCAGCACTGGATAATTCTGCCTCTGTAGATAATTCAGCAGTTGGTTCCAACCTTTCACAATTGTTTATTTAGTTGAATAGAAAGTGGGATACTTATTTGAATCAAATAAAAATGGCTGAGTCACTAGAAGGAATACAAAAATCTAAAAATATAGTTTCAGAGGTTCCCAAAAATTTACTCAAGATTTTTTAAAAAATTAAAATCTGTTCTATTTTTTGTAAGGTATGGCGGTATCTGAAAGAATTCAGTCCTACTAGTGGTGGAAAAATAATCAACTCAAATCTATTACACCATATGGCATATCATTATTTTATACTGTAATATTACTGCATGCCATATTATTGTTTTATATCTCAGCATTATTCTAAAGAACAGAAATGTTAAGTGAAATTTATACATTGGAACTATCTCCAAGTAAAGTAACATAAAGCAAATATTCAACACAGATTCACTCCTCTCTAAAATTGCAGGTATTCCCCTTTATTTTAAACAACTGCTTAACCTAGCATACATGACAAAGTGCCACCTCAGATGAGGTATGCATATTTGCAAATAATATTTTTGAACTAAGTTCATATTTATCCCATTTCCTCAGCAAGGCAAGTAGATTTCCTGAGAACCTAATTTTCCTACAGGAAAAGTAAGGAAATTAGATATTTTCCTGTTAGACACAAAAATACTTTTAGAGGATTAAAAATAAGTCATTCAAATATTCCATATCCATTCAAATATTCCATATAATTGGTTAATTATATATCACACTTGCACACTGATACTGTATATGAAATAAAATGTCACATTTTAAAGACATCACAATTATAAAAAGGAAATTAACATTTATTCAGCCTCCTCTATGTAGTAAATTTTTCAGTTAATTATAGCAAACTCACAAGGAAGTGATCACTTATACATATTAAGAAAATAAAATTCAAGAGGTAAAACCCTCAGTCTTTAACACTACTAGATTTGTACATCTGATCTTACAATTTAAGCCCTTTCTGTATAAAAAGCACTTTATCAGGTTTTAGTTTAAAGGTTCACTTGTGAAATTATGAATAAGAACTCTAGAGTAAAACTAAATTAATCTACTAATCACATGCCATAATAATTATATAGAATTTAAATTTTTTCTCTATTTGATGTTCTTCTGATAGTGTCTCAAATAGGGAGAAATTTATTCCATTGCCTATAGTGATTTATATCACTCTAACACTGCTTTAAGCATTAGATCCCAAATCAGAAAATACTTAAGAGTTATTGAAAAAAGTCAAATCTGAACTAGTAACACAAAATTATATAAAGCTAATAAACACAACTGCAGAAGCTGAACTTAGTAACCACATGCATAAAATGAAAACTAGATCACTGTTTAGTATAAATCTTGAAACTAATCACAACATTAAGAGCTAAGGATTTTTAGGTACTTCCTCATCTTGTAAAACCTACTAATGTTACCAAAGCAACTCAGAACAATTTTAGATGATCAGAAAGCATATTTCCCTGTCAACAAATTAAAATCTAAAGCAGAGTAACTTTTCTGAAGGCACACATGTGCCTTCTAAGAAATATAAAAATGTGTACGTTTTACAAACATCAGCATTACCCGATAAACTAAAAATATTTAATATGTATCATTTTAGGTTACCATTCATGTATGTGTTCCGTAACTGCAGAAAATGTCACCAGGCAGATCACATTTTAAAAACCCAAAGGAAGGATAGAAAGAGGAAAGGAATGAAAAGTTTTCATATTCTGAAAACAAGGTTATGTTCTTGAAATAGTTGGCTTTAGAACAAAATATTCTCCAACCAATTAACAAGTTAAACATTGCAAATTTTAATTTATCTATTTTTTGCTTTACATATTCTGGGCCTTGGGCAGTGACTGGCATACAGTAAGCAATCAGTAAACAGTAAAACTATGAAGATTAGTTTTATCACTCATAAGGGTCCAGAAAACAAATTTAGATTCACAAAGAGACACACAAGAGAGCCAATATGAAACGGACCAGAAAACATCACCGTAGAAGTAGATTCCTTAAGTTTCAAAATTGGCATGTCCAGAAAAAGACAGCGAATCCAAGAAGCTCTTTTTAATGTCCGTATGGCAATCTCCACATTAGGTCTAAATTCTGCTCCTTGATTTAGTTATTAAATGCAAAACGTGACACTTAAACTTCTCCCCTCCTAGCAGCAAGTATAAGGTGGACAAGTGACCTTCCCTCAGACAAAAATTCCCCGTCCTGGCTTCTTCGCCCACAAAGGCTTATTCTGGGTTCAGTCTTCCAACCTGGTGGAAGATGAATCCAGGGGTAAAGGGACGCCAGGCGGTTGCCCAGTCAACCAACCCACTTCCTCCTAGGACCCGGAAGTGACACAAGGCCAGGAGTCTGACGGAGAGGCTGGGTCAGCAACTGCCCCCCGCCCCGTCTTGATTCATTGAGTGGGAAAGAGTCGAAACATCACAAGTACAGTACACTGTAGACTCCGCCACTGATTCTGCTACAGCCCAACCCGCGCCCCCGATCGGGCGAGCTCCCTCCTAGTCGTCCTGCGCGACCCGCCCAAGCCGCTCCAGCAAGCGACCAGCCATCTTCGGAGCCCGCGGGAGCGCGCGCTCGCGCCCCGCCCACGTTACGTCACGCCGAGGCCCCGCCCAGGGACAGGCCCTCCCCGCCACACACCCCCTCTCCACCTCTCGCCGCGGGGGACCCCTCCCCTTTCATTACTCTGCCCAGGGAGCCAGGGAAAAGGCCGAGGCCCCTCGGGACCCCCGAACTTTCCTGGGGTGGGAAAGGGGAACTGGCTGTTCCACTCTGGAGCCCGGCCGCGCCGAGAGCCGCGCGGAGAGCACAGGACCTCTCCTCTCCTCTCCGGATCCACCTCCCGCCCCCTTCCCCGCACGTTCCAAAGCATCTGCCCTCAGGGTGGCGCCGGGGGTAGCGGACAGCCGGCCCCTCAGACCTGCGGAACCCGCACGCTCGCTCGCCGGGCTGGCGGGAGCACGGTGCGGGGCCGGCGAGCGCCGGAACAAATGCTCGCTTAAAATGGCTGATTCCCTTCCGCAGCAGCTGCCGCCGCTGGATCTGCGGCGGGGCTCCGGGCGGCGCCCGCCCCCACCCGAGACCCCCCAGAAGTCTCCGCCGTGCCGGGCTAGGGAGGGCCGCGGCGCGGTCTCCGCTCCTCTTCGCCGTCCCCGCTGCGGTGGCCGGGGTGCGCCGGGGGACTGTCACGGGCACGGAAAGTGGAGCTTCCCGGGCAGGCTCCGAGGCTGGCGGATCCGCGAGGGGGACGCGCGCGGGCAGCCCGCCACCCTACCTTGGTACTTGTTGTCCAGCTCTCGCAGCACGGACACGTTCCTCTGCATGTCGTGAGGCAGCGACTCCACACACTCGAGATAGTCCTGCACGTAGCAGGTGAGAAGCCGGCTCCGGTCGCCCGTCAGCAGCGCGGCCGACGAGTACAGTTGCTGCTGCTGTTGCCCTAACATCCTGCCGTCGCCGCCGCCTCCGCATCCAGCAGCCACGCATGCAACAACCGCGGCCGCCGCCGCGGGGACACCGGCAGCCGCTCGGGAAGGCGCCGCCGAGCCCCGATCTCCACTCCCCCCCCCAAAACAACCCTCACTCCCCGCCCCCGCGGTTACAAGCCTAGGGGCGGGGCGAGATCAGGGCTCCCTCCGACTCCTCTCCCTCCTCAGAACTAGAGCAGCGGGGATCCCCCTGCCGAGCCGGCTCTGGGAACTCAGGCGTTGACACTTCCTGCCCCCGCGGGGTTCCCAGATGCTACCAGAGCCGTCTGGTGGCGCCGATCCCCATGACAAGACCCTCGATGCCTCTTTGGCCAGTCGCTCTCGGTGTCTGCCGAAGAGTCTCTCACTGGACTGTCCCCGCCCCTTCGGCTGCGGCCGCGTCTGCGCCTGCGTAAAGCTCACTCCTAATAAGGCCCGGGCCCCGCCCCTACCGCGGGACAGAAGGGTTCGCATTCTCCCGCCTTCCCTCCGCCACCCGGGTGATTGGTCGGTCGGCGCTCGGTTGGGGGGAGGGTGCGGAGGGCAGCTAAACGGCAGGCTGCGCCCCGCCCCTCCTTAAAGGGGAAGCGCGGCCGAACAGCCTCTGCCAAGTGTCTGAATGGGACCTGAGTAGGAAACTGGCGGATTTCCTGCTTCTGCCCTTCACACTGGGAGGGGGGACCTTGTCCCAGCTCACTCGGCCAGGGGTTACCACTTTTTCTCCGTATGGCGGATCAAGTGCGGCCCCTCGCGTTCCTTAAAAGGAGAAGCGGGCTGCCACTTTTGGCCACAGGCGAGGAGTGTGGCCCGAGGGAACTACGCGGCCCGGGGTGGTGCGGCGGCTCCCGGCATGCGCCGCGCCGTGTTCCCGCCGAGCCGCCGCCTCGGCGCAGCTTCCCGCCGCTGCCCTCCGGCGCCGCAGCACCGAGCGGCCGAGGAGGCAGGCGGCGCCCCTTCCCCGCGCTTTCTCTTTTGGTCGCCCAGCGCTTTAAGTCGGCTTCCGGGCCTCAGCGTGCTTCCGCCCCTTCCCGCTGTCTGGGTGGCTTGTGGGGTTTGCCTCTCCTCCCTTCCTCGGGAATCTGTTTAGGGAGAAGATTTGCAAGGCTGCGCCCAACAGACAGCCCTAAAAACATTCGTTGGTAGGGATCCGAACATTTAAGCGTCGGGCGGGAGGGGGTGCAGGAGAGGCTGGTACCCCACGGCCTTTACTTGTCTTTTTTTTTTTTTTTTTGGTCTTTCCAGTTTTGCCCTAGCACTAACAATTGGAGGGAGTTACAATAGTAATGGAGATGTGAGTGAAAACCTAACCCGCAGACAGGCTCACAGCCGTCCTTATCTGTGTGAGCGACGATGACGGTTTAATTTCTGTGTTGTGAAAATGAAATGCCAAGCAGAGGAGCTGAGTTTAATTACGAGGTAGACTATCAATATACATAATGTGTGTTTTAGAAAGAAATGGGTATAAGTCCGACGAAAGCACAGAGAATTTTAATAGAATGCCTGTGTAAATAGGCCCTATTGTGAGCGGCGTCTGAGTTTAAGAGAAAGTGGGTGATAAATTTGGATTTTCCTATATCCAGTTTGCAGTGGTGCAGCACCTGTGGCGCGACCTACTCCGAACACTTTTGAAACAGCTGTTAATATTTAGTAGCTATTGACAGGCCAAGAGGAAACTGGATCTTGTTCTAGAAGAAATTTTACAATTTGAAGCCAAAGGCACTGCAGGTAATTTGTTGTGTTGAGAACAACAGCAGTATTGCAGAGGACCCAAAGCTCTTCTGTGTTAATATCTTGTGACACTGAGGTTTTGACCACTTGAATAGAGTTAATCCAGGCAGCACAGTGTGTTGTATATGTGAGAAGCGTTTTCGATGATTTTATTGTTGGCATTGTTCAAATCTATCATTCAGCAGCCAAGTCTCCTCAAAAGGCAGTAGTGGTTAAGAACTGAGTTTTACTGATTTTTATGTTAACTCTACTAGCGTTGTTTCCTCACTAGTTGAGTCGGCTAGTCTGTACCTAAGAACCAAAAAAATGAAAAAATGCCTTGTTACTTAGTCTTTCAGGTTAGCCACTGAATACCCCTATAGATTTTATTCAGCCTGATAAGAAATTTATAGGCAGGTGACATTTAGAAACTGAGAAAAGGCAATAACTCAGAATGCCTGGAGTACTCCCTTCAGGAGCCTCAGTAAGATAAAAATATGGATGAGTATGGGACAGACCTTTTAGAGCATTTTTACCTTTTTTTTGTCTTTTTCCTTTTATCAGTACCGGGGATCGAACTCACGACTGCTTTCCAGGCAGACGCTTATGCCGCTGAGCTTAATCCCCAGCCCCAGCATTTTTACCTTTAATAATTATTTGGAATAGGTTGAAAGAAGCAAAAATCCAAGTAGTAGCGTTTCTGCTGGCACAGGTATAACTATAAAGCATTTTAATGTGATATTGTGTATATATGAATTATTTTGGATATGTGCATTTATTGAAAGATTAATCCAAGGCATAGTCCCACTGTGCAGTCTGTAGGGAGAGTTCTGTACTTATAAGTGTAATGTACGATAACAACAAAACAAACCACAATAGTCTAAACCCAACTTTCTGCTTCACTGAATTAAACTAGGAATAAATTGACTTTCACTGGTTTAGGAAAAAGACTTCATTAACCAAATGAAATATGTGGAGCTTGGGTCCTGTTAAACCGTATATAAAAAGATTAAATGAAATAGGAAATTTGAAACTGTGTTATCTGGATATTAAATGACAGAAACTTACAAGCGTAGCTTAAGAGTATTGTGATTATCTTGTAAAAGTTGTCAATCTTATTCACATTTACAGTATTCACAGGTAAAATTATAGTGATACTGTAAGGATGAAGAGTGAAGGCTTACAGATTAAATAATAGCTATAATTTGATAAGTGTTGAAACCTGCTGAATGGTATATAGAGTGTTTTTGTGTTTGAAAATTTCATCATAAAAAGTTTTTTAAAATAGTACTAAAAGAAAGGGGTTCAAATTTAATTCATTTGACTCAAGCCAAACCAAGTACTCTCAGGAAGTATCCTTAGGAATTCTTCAGAAGTATTTTCTAGTTTGTTTTTAATCATTTTAAAGTTGTTGCTCTCCTGTCTCCTATCTGAGGGATACAGAGGATAAGTTTGAAGGCTCCCAGGGCTCTTCAAGTAACTCATTTAGAAATTAAAGGCAATTAATTAAAAAAAGAAATTAAAGGCAATTTTAAACACTAATTTGGGGGCATCATTACTTACTTTTTTCAGGATTGCTTTCAGAACGGAAAATATATTAAAAAAACAAATAAGATGCCTTTTGTTTTATTCACAGGATGAAAAATCAATTAATTTCTATTATATAGAGAATTGGGGATTTTTATGTTTTGCATTTAGAAATGTCAGAAAACCTAGTTTGAAGAGGCCCCAAAATATTGGGTAAATGCTGAGAAAAAAAGAACATTGATTTATTTTTTAAGTATTCACAATACCATTTTTCTATTACTATAATTTTCTTACTGTCATTTAGAATTCAGACTAATCTTTTTACATTTAGTTTAACAGGATCCAGACAAGTACCATACATTTCATCTGCTTAATGAGGTCTTTTCTAAACCAGTAAGAGACTGTTATTCCTCATTTAATTCAATGGAGTGGATAGAAATGTTTTCCTAAGGAAGATAGTTGGATTGTCGAAAAGCACTGTTAGAAATAGAAATTAAAAACAAAGTCATACTAAAAGGTCATCAATTGAGAACCTGCTGTTGAAATTTAATTGTAAATAAATCTTTAATATTCTAGGAGCTTGTATTTAGAATGTAATTTGTTCCAGAAGGTCCAGTGAAGCATTTTAAATTATCCTGAAAAAAGCCTAAACTTTAATTCATTAGTACTAGAGGCAACTAAAAAAATACTAGTATCTATCAGTGATGATAAATCTGACCACACTCAACCCAGAACCCACATATGTATTGCAGAGTGCCAGTACTGCAATTAAATCCAAATACTGAGGTTTTAGTTTAGGAAAAGCAACTCATACATTAACATCTTTTTCTTAAAAACACAATAACATGCATGCCATAGGTTTGCCACCACTGGTCTGTATCTCCACTGAGGTCAGTTTTAAAGGATTTTAATTGCTTTATTATATAACTGATAC